TTTATTTTGATTTCGTTCATCAGTACTTACACGTTAGGCAGAGTACTGTTAAGGTTATAAAGCGGTGATGTTTTTGTAGGTGTGGTTATTTTGAGGTCTACCTTGAATCTAGTCCAACACATACAACTCCGGTGGATATAACAGCACAGAGTCAGTTGGTGGATCGGAGAGACTTGCAAGCAAACTGAGACCTCATTGTGAACATGGAAGGAGATTTTCGACGAGTAGCTGATATGGTGATTGACAGCATCTACTACTGTATGGTTTAAGTGCGTACTGTTTTTGTCACTATTTATCAAATAAATTACAAATAATTCTGCCAAATACAAATTCCTAAATTCTGCCCTACCTGTGTTGTTGTTTGGTTTACTGGGATTCGGTCACTGCGAAATACAGTTACAAATAACTTTTACAGTTCTATATGTTTTTAAAGTTTTGTTTTAACGTGTTGGCTTTGGACTATGCTCAGAACCTAGGTTTCACCTTTTTGCCATATTTCCCACCTAGTTTTGCTATTCCTCTACTTCACATCGGTTATTTTCTTCTTTTGCCGTGGGTCTACAGTATTTCTGTAAATCCTTATTTGTATTATTTTATAATCGTGGTATTTTGCCATACTCACCATAACTGATCACAACGATGGGTGAAGGTGGCTATCCCGTGCAGATGGCAGACGGTCTGTAGCTTTCCACCTCCTAGACATGCCGACCACGTATATATTTCACTCACGTACAGTCTGAGGAGTACTCACCAAAAAAACTCAGTATAACTTAGTTAAATTATGCCTCCACAGAAACACTATTGGGGATGATTCTAATGACCTCGACTTCCCAGAAAACCTGTGCGATCTTCAGCATGCTGCCCTGATCACGAGAATGCGACAGCTATTCTGAAATGTTCACCTTGCAGTTCCTAGGCCCATGCGAATTCTCCGTTTGTTGAAATATTTAGTTCGAGATTTTAGAACTGATTACACTTTCCCCCAATAATTGCGGCTGTAAAGGTCGCTTCAGACAATGCAGGGAATCCCAACAGCCCTGCGCGTCTCACCTTTAATAAAGTTAGCAGGGATAGTTAACAACGCTGTTAAGAACTCTAGACCAAGCGCAGGTATTTCAGCCTGACTATCCGCCAGCTCCTTCAACCAGTGAGTCATCAGGCCTTGGCGCAGTGGCTCACATCAATAAAATTTTTGAATTGTGTAGTACAAGGAAAAAGATGAAAGCCATCACTTCATTCCACAATCGTATAGCCCGCGCTGTAACAGCAGATCCTTCTCACCTTTTGGTAAAAGGGAACCTAAGCAGCGAAACTCGTAATCTGAATTGTTCTGGCACCACAGACGTTATGGAACCAATTCCTAAAATGCACCCGTCCTTGCACTTTTGACACCAGTCATTCAGGAGACGTGTAGGGCAGCACGCGATGGTAAACCATTTCCTTTTCATTTGCTCCATTTTACGGATCGTCACTCTCGGTCAACCTCCTCTGTTCCCACCTTGGATGAGGCTAATGTAATCTCACGACGGAAGGGTACCTACTGCCAGCGTCTTTACAAAAGCATGCCACAAACAGTTCACCTATAACAACTCTCCATAGAAGATTCCTCAACCTCAACACTGGACTTCACTGTTGTTATCGCTGAGTTTTCATCATGGTCGATATGAACACTGGCATTACTGATATGGATCACTGTCGCTGTTTACCATATGTTAAAAGTGAAGGGTGGTTGGTTTTACAACATTATTCTCTATTTGTGGTATAGTCACAAAGAGTCTGTTTTTCATCTCAGTTTCCCCCACCCAGGACACTTCTGGTCATTTTGCCTTCACTGTCCAATTTGCCCCATGTGTTTTTAAACCCAGTCGTAGTGTCCCTTGTATGAAGCCCAGTATTTTGAAATACATCACGACCACTGACTCGAGCGAATCTACTACACCATGACAGTTATTTTCAGAGAGACTTCAGGCTGAAAAAACTGAGATCGGATGTATGTCTGAGATGGGGGCGGTTAGGTTATTCAGCAGCCCATGGTCTTCTTCGTTAAGTGTGGTGTAGTGATAACATGAGGCTCAATCCCAAAACTATTCCAAGTCGTATACGTGTATATAAACAGACAAAGTCAAAACTAACCATTTTTTCTTCATTAAATAATTTTAAGTAATCTAATTTGTGTTTTAGTTCATAAGAATTGGTTAGTCTAGATTTCGAGTGACTTTTTAGGGGATTTAATACCGTGGCTAAATATTTAGATAATTCATAAGTAGGTGAATTTCTAAAATCAGCTATAGGCCTGATAGATTATCCTGATTTATGAACTTTAGCAAGACAATACATCAGACTGGGGTTATTAATTTTGGTCATTAAATTAAACACTTAGACTCAACTAGAAACAGCTTCATTCAGCGTATAAGGTCCGCTGTGGATTACTTAACTTTATACATAACTGTGTCTACTGATTTATTAATTTCCCCATATGGTCCTGTTGGTATGTGAGTATTTACCTTGTCCAAATAGTCTGATTTGTGTAATACCACTGTCAATGTAGTTGAAAACTGAACGATCAATTCATGGTTGTTTGCACAAACTCAACTCTATAATTTGGCAGGCATCATCAGTCCGGCAGTCATCGTCTCATCGTTCGCTGTTCATTGGAAGACAGAAAAATATCAGAAACCTTGTGTATAATAACCTTATTGTTGGTTACATATTGGCGTAAGAATAAAGGGTTTTCGAGTCGCCAATCTGTGTTCTGGTTTTCGTGTTGGTTAATACAATGTGTTTCTGAAGGTCTTCGAGGGACAGCGTGAGATTCAGTGTAGTAAGACCTGGACATTGAAAGTTTCTGATATTTTCTGACAGTTCCTGATAGTTTCTGTTCGTCTTTTCTCGTGTCTGCCCGTCTTCTTTGGACAAGTGTTATCTGGAACTTTTCTGGATTGTTTGATCAAGCTCAGTATTGCCTAGGTCAAAGAAAGCACAAAGTGTCTTAGAAGCAGACAGGAAATTAAGTAGTGCTGAGTTGCTTGTTAAATGTAATGATATGTATGATGCTCAGCATGATGAGTCTGTTGTTCATGTTTCGCCGTCTAGGGATAATAGGAATTTTAAAATGCCTAAATATAAACCTCGGTGTTTCGGCGGAAACCCACTGAATATCTAACGTTTGCAAAGGAGTTTGAAGTCATCTTGAGTTGTTTTTATTGAATGATGAAATGAAGTTGATATATTTGTTGAGGTACTGTGGTGATTGACAATTTCTATCTCTGTATTGTTTAAATACTTACAGTTGACTGTTGATATGTTTCATATATGAATTGCATAATAATTCCGCTAAATACAAATTCCTGAATTCTGCCCTCTCTGTGTTTTGTTTGGATTCTTGTAATTCGGTCATCTCGAAATACTAATATTACAACTACAATAAATTACTACAAATTGGCGTCGCGATGGAACTAAATAACCTGGGAAAATTCCCCATTAATGGGTCTCCGCGGGAGATTGCTGATTATTTGGAATGCTTCGATGCGTGGTGCATTTCAAAGAATGTTCGGGATGACAAAATACCAGCACATTTCATTACTGCTATTGGGCTAGATGCATATAGCCTAGTAAAGACTCTGTCGTTTCCAGATAAACCTATTTCTCTGTCATATGTCAAGATTCGCGAACTTCTGATAAATCACTTTCATGTAACTACATTTGAGACCAGAGAGAGGGCTCAATTCCATAAACTGGTTCGTGCTCCCAACCAGAGGATTGGAGACTTTATTCTGCAACTCCAAATACAAGCTTCAAAGTGTAACTTTGGAGATCAGCTGCATACTCAACTACGTGATCGTCTAATTGCTGGAATCAATATTCCTAAGTTAGAGAAAGAGTTAATTCAGATTCCTTCTTGTACCTTTCAAACTGCTAAAGATTTATGTATTACATATGAAGATGTCAATAATGAATACTCTGCTCCCACTACGTCAGTATCTGATGTTATGCTTTCTAAAGTCGAAAATACAAGTGTTTATGGAAAGCAATCCAAACTGTCGTCCACAGGTAATAGAATGCAGCGAGAGATCAAAAACATTAAACCGTGTTTATCCTGTGGAAAGTTACATCTACGAAGCACTTGCCGTTTTCGGGGTGCTAAGTGCCATAAATGTGGTAAAGTTGGACACATCAAGACGGTTTGCAGAAGTTCGAATACTTATGTTGCTCAACATTCTTATAATTCTCCCAAGCTGTCTAGTAAAATGGAGTCAATGTGTCTTTCAACCTTTCAAAATACTCAAGCTAATCCGATGAAAACCTCCACTACAAGTTCGGCAACTCAAGTGTCAACTGTTTTCAAAAATGAGGTAGCCGAGTTACAATGTGAACTGTCGAAAACACGAATAGACCTGAATGAGATGAGAGAGCAACTGATTAAAATTGAGGAATTACTGCATATGCATAGACTGCGTCTGTTGAATGCAGAGCATACAAGTACCCGTGAAAGTCCTGCGAAACTTTTCAAATCGCGAATTCTCAAAAAGCATCTGATGTCCACGACTTCTAATGTACATTATTACAAAGGGAAAGACTATAGACCTTCTGTTGGGATTATACTACAAAGAATGGGAAATCGAGTGGTGGAGATATTAGACATCAAAGATCACTCAGTTCATAACGGACACCTGGACAAAGTGACAATAAATGAAGTAGGTCGTTCCAATTATATTATTAATGATTCCGCTACTAATCCTGATTTTGTAGATAATTTAGAAATAAGTCCAGACAATACTGATGCAAATGATATCACAGAATCAGTTAGAAGGTCGCAGCTACTTGCAAGCAAACCGAGACATCTTTATAAGTACGCAAGGAGACATTCGACCTGTGACGGATGTGGTGATTGACAATTTCTATCTCTCTATTGTTTAAATNNNNATATCAACTGATTACAATGACTTAGTTCATTACGGTGACCATAGAGATGCCAAGTCCACCTGGTAGCAAAAGTAATATTATGCAAATCCACAGAGCTTATTAAATAACTTATTATATTAAGCTTATAAATTAAAATGGGACTAAACATACCTGAAAAAGAAAAAGGAATACACCGTTGTAAACTTCCACACTGTTTTCATCCAGAATAATATTTGCTGGCCAATCTATGCAGTAATCAAGTGTTAAGTCTTTGATTAAATCAAGACCCAATTTTTCAGACAAACTGTGCGACAAGGAATCTGCATTCTGAAAACTGAATGTAAGGAAAGATGACTCGATATGCCGAAACGCAGGTAATCCCTGGCAAGTTTTAGATGAATCTGTTAAATATTCTTGAAGACTGGCTGTGAGTTCAAAACTGCAGAGCTTTCCACCTTCTCGAGAGCGAAAATCCTCAAATACTTGACGTGCAAAGTCATTCATAGTGTCGCCAGAACCGAAAAGGTAAACCGCTCCGGCTGTAGCGAGACAACTTCCAATACCTCGTAAGGAATTCGAAATAGAGTGAGGAACAATCACAATTTTTAGCAATTGCTGGTTGATCGACGCTATTTGTTCATGAACAAAGCTCTCTAAATCTGATTTGAGGAACTTTATACTATCACAAGATCTGTCGAAGAAACACGTCTGTTGTCTAACGGGGTATTCATGTGACTCAAAATCAAAACGTAACTTCCGTTTTCCTGATAAGAAATCAGAATAAATCGGAGGGAAACTTTTGTACACTCGAGAAGGATCCACAGCAACCTTTTCCAGAAAAGAATAATTTCGGATATTTTCACAGATTGAGATGAGCAAGAAAAGAGCTTTAAGTCCGTCAACTATTTTATCGAAAACAGGAATAAACATCTGTGGTACATCAGGTGTACCAAGTTCGTTGATTTTTGGCTTCATTGCAGAATGCCAGAATTCAGGATCATTAGGAGTTATATTACAATCAATATCAACAAATAATTTCACAAATGAATCAGTATACGAAGCAGATCCTGATAGCAAGTGAACCAGTGAATAAAGTAAGGGATGAAAAGTAAAAATAAATGCAGAACGAAGCATACATACCACATAATGATCACACCTGCAGTCTTCTATGAAATTTGCAGAACAATATAATTTATCCAGCAGTTTCGCGATAGTTCGTGCATCTTGCATATTCATCATGTTACCGTTGGTGACGTCCCTTACAATCTTTGATATTATTTTTACACGATAAAACCATGGAGTTAGACACTGACAAAGACTGAGCAGAGTAAAAGTACCACAACCACGACTCATACCTTCCAGTTTGTTTAAAAACTCATCAAGTTGAGATAAAAATACATTGAGGCAATCAGCAAACGAGAAGGCACATGGCTGGGAAATGAAGTCCACTTCTCTAACCACAAACTGAACTGTATATCTTAGGAACGATATATGTTCATTCCAGCTTGAAAACTCCCGCAGCAGGGAGTCAAGTGCATTGAAAGACAAGTGATTGACACACACTAGGCGGGATTTGAAACCAACTTCTGTCGTTCCACGTTTTGCCATCTGTGATACAAACGACTTTTTAGCTCCAAGTAGCACCCAAATGACTTCACGTATTATTTGGTATTCTGTCAATTCATATCTATCGTCAGTCACTCCCTTCAAAGATAACCACAAATTTTTAGTGCACTCCACCGTCAGGCTTGTAGAATATTCTTTAAACCAATATAAGGGTTGCAAGCTTTTACAGAGAGATATGAATGAAAAACACACATCATTCTGATATCTAACATCTCTTGGCGGAAGTTGGTCCCAGCGTATTGGGTATGAACGATTACATTTCTGAATTACTTTTGTGATTTCTTCTTCAGAAGATTTTGAATTATATGTTTCAGATGAGGAAGAATCAGAATAGAACTCAGCGCAATATTTATTGCACATAAATACAGCAGGAAGTCATACGAAGACCTGCCTCGAGGTTTAAATTCATATTTGACACAAAAGATGAAAATTCATATTTGCACGTCCTAGAGACCGCAAACAAAGATATGGACTAAACAAACAAATGATATTCTAGAAACACAGGCTGGGGATCGATTAGACTTCGCTTTTCTTTTCGAACTATTTTGAAAATTTTGTGTGAAAAAATATATACACAGCTACAATAAAATGATTTTACAGGTCATTAGGAGAAATAAATTCTAGTCATATATTTATCCTCAGGATTAGACGAATATTGGCAAACCAATCCTTCTCTGAGCTATGAAGCAGAAGTTGGTGATATGAAAAGCTAAGTAGGAGAAATCCAGCGGTTTGCAGATGGATACGAAAAATGTGGGCCTATACGGAGAATATCCTAACGCGATTTTCGAACTTTTGGGTGACGTCCACGCAAGTGGTGGGTTCCAGAGGGAGGAATAGACAAAATAAATCAGCACACAAGCCTTTACATACAGCGTGATGTTCCAAATTTGGGTTAATCGTTAATATTCAGTACGAAAGGAGAAAGCAATCTGTTCAATAGGACCCTTCACTTCATGAGAATTTTTGGCTGGACTTATCCGGCATATTGGTTGAAATTTCGCTCGGTAAATTTTTTTGTCGATAATTTTCAATAAAATTGTGATTTATGTTTTCTGGATTGATAGGAATTCTCATTTACTGGCTAGTTATGTTGGTGTCCGCGTCAGGTAATCTCACTGCGACACACTCTAAGCATATTGGTTGTAATGATTAGTGTTTCATGCGAAACGAGTGAAAACATCGCTATAATGAGGAAGATGGGGTAGTTGCAGGGTAATGTCATCTACGCAAATAGTTTACTTCTTGTAGAAGCTGCGGCTTTTGACACGGTGTCATTCAATGAGGACCACGACAAAATGCGGCTATTTTCGTGTGAAGAACAGTACTATTTGACAAAAGAATGCTATCAGTACTTGGAAGTCACCTGTAGATGTGTCTTTCACTGTATGTGTGTTTGGACAAGAATTATGATAAGTTGAAAGGTTGTTTTTAAATGGATTTAATATATATTTACACTGATTGGCGCAGTATAATATTGGGTTATGTGAATTCAATGTATAAAAGAGGCCTCTATTAACATTTTGCCATTGTCTGCTTAGCTGACTGCCAGGCTAACAAATGTACGTGGTTCTCGTGGTTGTTGCAAGTGCAGTGCATTTGAGAAGGCAATAACTCGTCTAATTTTCCTCACTGTTTCACTTAGTGCAAATGTTCAGTGTACAGTAATAATATACACATGGTTTGTGTTGATTGCCAGAATTGAATCTAGTTAGCTCTATTATTATTAATCTACCATCTGACACTGTAAACTTAATACTGGAATGTTTTTGACCACCAATAGTGGAGATGAATATCTTCTGAAATTTCCATCTACCTGAAACAGTAAAGATCCCGTATCACGTTTGAATGTCAAGGTTGCATTATACTTCATTTTTATCCTCATCAACACAACATGTCTGCGTATCTTACAATACTTTAAGTGTTCCTCTATGTTGTTAACACTGTGCATAGTTGCTTAGAGTTGAGGCATGTTCAGCTTATGTTTGATGACAACAGATCCCTAAATATGAGAACGTAACTCCCGTAGGATTCATAAAACTATGCTCACTAGACATTACTGAGATTGTGGATCAATTTCTAAGCTACACATTTGCAATACTTCATATAATGTAGACGTATTTACTGTGAAGTTGATGAGAGAATGACGTCTCAACAGTATGGGGGCTTCAGAGTTTATCTTGAAATTTGCGTGTAATCCTCTAATGCTGGACAACTTATGAGGTATATTTATGCATACGGCGTCAATATAAAGACCAGCTGTGGAATACAAATACTTTTAATTGTGTGAGAACTTGACTTAGTATTAATAGAATCAGTGTATACTAATATACAAAATTATTTTTCATAACTTCATGTTGTGCTTCATATTTTAGGCATATGGAGGTTGTGGAATGTGAAATCATTGGAAACGCCAATCTGTCAAACTAACTCTAATACCCTTCATCAACATTTTCTCCTGTAAACTAAGAAAATGTTTAATATACTCCTCATTTCTACTTCTGAACTTTTTCAGTGCGTCGCTATACTATGAGCTTTCGTAATATGTGAATTCTGATTTATGCATGTTAAGCTCAGTGGAATGGAAATTTACTATATTATTATGAGATTGTTACTTTAATCATTCATAGGATTTCGCGTCTGTTTCTATACAATAGCACATTGTAAAAACTAAGTAGGATTTAGCAAGTTGAATAATAATTCTGTTATGTTCGTCAGGCTAAGGTTGCCTTATTTAGCCAGTTGCAAGTCTGTATACTGCTAAATGCCAAGTATGTAGCACAAGTAAATGTTGTAAATTGGGGTTTATAGCTACTTCATTAATCAGTTAATATGCAGTGGCATCCTCAGATAGCCTGTCTACTTGGCGATGACCTAAGAAACAATGCTTATTTATTTCCGATATGCTGTTGAATCGTGTGATGTTATCTAATATCCATCATTTCTATGATCAACAACTGAAGTGTTTGAATATCTACTTCGTTAAGTATGCCGATGATTTAACTATTTCAGTGTCTGTCACCTCCCAGCTAGACAGTACTAAAATGAGCAGCTTTCTGTCAGGAATTAGCAAATGGTCTTCGTCTAACGGCCCTACACTAAATCCTTCCAAATGTCAGACAGTTAATTTCAGTTTTAGATGTAAAAGAAAGTTAAATGCACAGCGAAGCTATTAATTCCTATTACCGTTGTATAATTGATGATAGTGGTATAGAAATCAAGTCTGACGTTAAGTATCTCGGATTAATTCTTTCTTTGACAAATCCTGGTCTTCCCATGTCTTAGCGATTTCTAAAATAATATTTCGTCTGACTATTCACATTAAGAAGTTAAGGCACTCAAGCATAACTCATCCCCTCCTCTTACAGTTTGTCAGCTCGTGCATCTTACCTATACTTGACCTGTTCTTCTTGCTTTAATCATGATACAGCCATGTTTCTCAGAACTCTTCACACAGCGTATCAGCCTTAAATGTGTACCACATGCAGGTATAATGCTTATGAGCTAGGTTTGCAAATCAAAGTAAACGTTTGTACGGTGCATTAATTATTTATAAAAATAACTAGTATGTAAGAGCTACCATTTGAACAGTTACGCAACGTTTAATATATTCAGACACAATCAGCCTACGCTGCTTACTTCTATGACGCACCTGGAGGCCTGCTTAAATCTTGGGCTACCAAAATTTCCATCCTACATATTGCATCTATTTCCTCGGATTTATTTTGTTTTAATTATTCAATTATGTATCCAAGTCGCGTTACTTACTCTCGCGATTATTTAAAATGTTTTCAACCTGTTGATTTACGAGTATATCATAACGTCAAGAAGAAGCATCATGGGGGTTGGCAGAGATCATTAAAGTGTACTCTTGTTGCGTGCGTTTTCTGACTAAACTGCTGTACACATATATTCTATGTATTTCTTCGTTCTTATTGATGTGCGCAGACGTTGTGGCTACTCGACGCCCACAACGTAAATCAAAAGGCACTTGTGAAGAATACGAATATGTATTGAAGCAGTAGTCAAATTCGAAATTGTGTCAAGGTAATATTCAACAGTGAATGGACAAGTATTTGCGAAGTATATATAAAATCGGTCTGTATACACATATAATGCAAGTATACAAATTAGATTAAAAAGCATGTTTACAGTTGGTATAGGGGTACTACATAATTCCCCCACCAGAACACTAAAATATATAAAAAAAATACATTTAAGTGTTCGAAAATAACATGCGTCAGCGTAATACGTAGCAGCGATAGTACACAGAAGGCGATTTATTAAGCTGAAAAATGAGCAGTTTAAAGCGGTTAATAACATCGATAATAAATGCGATAATCTAGGGAAAGTGAAATTGCTAATCGTAATAGAATATATAAGGAACGATAAAATTGTCCGGGGATCTGTAGTCGGTAGACGAAAACGATACGTGAATAATATACGAGATGTGATTAAATATAATAATATAGGAAATATCGATGTTAAAATAATAGTGACGTGATTTATGTATGAAAATATTAATCAGTTAAATGAGTAATCAAATGACAATTACGAATAAAGATAATAAAAATGAAAATTCATAGTAAGTTATATTTCGATGACTTGCACGTAACGTTTAGGCCAATGGACTCGTCTACCAGATCGTGTTGTTTTCGCAGGCTTCTCTGTCGACGTTGAAGCTTGTGTAGATGTAGGTGTTGGCACGTCGTTCAGCTGGTTCTTATCGTTGACTTCGAAATCGTCGAGGAACGCTGGTTTGACTCTGTCGATACTGATGGCTTCTGTTTTATTCAATCTTTCTATCGTGATAACTTTCGCGTTTCTGTTTAGAACTTTGAATGGGCCATCATAAGCGGGTTGAAGTGGTCGTTGTACACCTTCTCTCCTGACGAAGACGTGAGTACAATCTGTCAGTTGTGACGGGATGTATGACGCTCGTTCCTGCTGACGTGGAATTGATATCTTTAGCTCGTTCATGTGTCGTTTTAGCTGATGCACGTAACCAGTCATATCGTGTGGAACTTTGTTACCCGGGGTGAAAAATTCTCCTGGTAATCGTAATGTTGTTCCGTAGACTAGTTCGGAAACACAGCAGCCAATATCTTTCTTTATAGTAGCTCGTATACCAAGTAATACTAGTGGAAGTTTGGTTGACCAATCGTTTCGAGTCAAAGAAGCAGCGAGCGCAGCTTTGAGTTGTCGATGAAATCGTTCGACCATACCGTTGGAACTAGGATGATACGCTGTCGTTCGTATTCGTTTAATGCCTAGTAATTCAGTTAGTTGGTCAAAAAGTCGGCTTTCAAACTGGGCACCTCTGTCTGTAGTGATAATTGATGGGACACCAAAGTTGGCTATCCAGTTTTCGACTAAAGCTTTAGCTACCGTTTCAGCTGAGACGTCGATTAATGGAACTGCTACTGGCCAACGAGTAAATCTGTCAATGCAGGT